TGGTAGCAGGATGAGACCTACAAATGCTTAAGTCTGCAGTAGCACCAGCCAGGACTATGTACCCATTTCCAGGCCCCAAGCCTAAAGCATCATACTGAAACCCGACTTCATCTGAATCTTTTGAATCCCAGCCCGGAACCTTGAATCCTTAAAGCCCCTGTGCAGCATCCCATCTGAGCCGCGCGCAGCCAGAAGCAAATGCAACGATGATGCTTCCAGTGCTGGCGCGAGCTTGGCGCCTGGTGCTTCCAAGCCAGCAAACATGCTGCATCATTCAGTATTGTAGCTAGAACACAGACGAAATGCACGGATCAAGTTTTTTTCGAAGCACCGGCGTTACGCACTCACTGGTAGCAAGCCAATGTGGCCGTGTAAGATGCCCTCAGCGGCCAAGCAAGCTTTTGCTATGACTGCCGATCTTGAAAGCCACTTTTACCTTCCGTGTTTGAAAGAACTACCCAAGCCGTGGCACTGAAGTGCAGCCATACTTTTCACTTAAGGGCCAACTTCACAAAGCTAGTTGCGGCTCACAGACGATCACAAAGAGTCTCAACGACAATCGTGAGCAGAGCAAGCACACCACAATTGATCTCCACCTTCGCCCAACCCCAGCAACCTCAGAAATAGTAATAATCATACGAGGAATACTCGGAGAAATAATAATAGTAGTAAACATGATAACAGTGAGGGCTATAATCAAAATAAAGTTACTTCGCCCCCATCAGGTACTTTACCTCCACCCATGCCCGGCCTCGGCTGATCGCACCGATTGCTTCGGCGCTTCGGCCCTCCTCCGAAACCCTTAAAATGAAGAACGTGGAATGCAAGCCTGGGGTTTAGGATTTAGGGTGTAGGGCTGGAAGCTTTCTGAATGTCAGGCATCATATACGCATAGGGAAAGCTGCGTACTTAACGCTGAATGTAAGGTTGTAGGGGGGCGTATTCTCATGTGTTCCAACAGCTCCCACGGCTGTTAGTATAAAGACTGTGGCCCAAAGACCACAAGCCAACTATAAGCAAGAGTACTCTGTATGAGTCCTTGACTGAAAATTGAGTCATTGCTCTTAGGGTCCACAGCAGGCGCCTTCATGCATCTACTCTGCGAATGGGGTTCTGATCAAGAAGCGCTGTGCTTTGAGGATCCGTGCTCAGCGGGCAGCAAAAGACTGTCCCTCGTTAGCTCATAACGAACAAAACGCTTGTTCCCGAACACGCTGCAGTACTCTGATTCACAAAGACACCTGAAACTTCCAAAGCAATGACCGACCGTATCACCCAAAATCAGCCCTACGTAATCCCTTCTGACTTCCGGACTAGCCTGGATAAAAATTATCTTCCCCCATTCCAGGGAGTGTAGGAGGGACCGCCAATCAGGACCCTTAATCCCATTGCCATATGAGCTGGCGTCAAAATTAC